TAGTTGTACTGGACTCAGTCTGGTGGAGGCGTGGTAGTTGTGGTCCATTAGTCCTTTGGACTTATCTTTTCCTTGTATCTTGTTTTCTTCATTCTCCCTTGCTCCCGAAGAGGTGAGACCAGTGGAGTATCCTAGATGGCTGTTCACAGGCTATTAAGACCCCAGACCCTACTCACCAAGATAGAATGTAGAACATTTTCTTTATAAACTGTGTTATGCCAATTGAGCTGGATGTTCCCCAAGACCATGGTCCCCAAAGTCCTCCGCCCAGCAATTCAGTCCCTCAGGGAGTTTGGATGCGTCTATGGAGCTTCCATGACCTTTCCTTGTACAGGTTGTACCACCTCCCCCAGTATTGTGTACTGTCTTATCCTTCATCAAAGTTACCACTTATCTACTGTCTATTTAGTATTCCCCCCAACCCCTCCCATCCCTTGTAACCAACAAAGATTGTTTCTTTTTGTGTGTAGATTTTTTCATGAGTTTTTACAGTAGCAGTCTCATAAAATATTTGTCCTTTTCTGACTGACTTAGTTCACTCAGCATAATGTCCTCCAGTTTCATCCATTAACTCAAATTTTTAATGTAAGAGGCATATGGCAGTTTGTTCCTAAGTATGAGCTGTGTGCAAGTCAGATGTTTGTAACCTGGGGACTGCCTGTACTGTGAGGTTTGTTTTTAAATAACAAACTTTAAGAAGTAATAGAAGTTTATTGCAGGAAAATTTGGAAGCTATTCACAATGGCAACCCCTCACCCATAGTTCTTAGCCCCCTTCCCTGCTTTTCTCCATATTACCATTACCATCTTATATACTGTATATTTTACACTATCGTCTCCCCTAGAAGAACATAAACTCTATATAAAATCAGGGGTTCGTTTTGTTCATTGCCGTATCCAAAAATATGAAGAGGTGCTAAATACTTGTTGAAATAATAAATAAGGTGGGAAAGGATAAAAAATACAATATTTACCTATAATTTCACCACCCAGGTATGACCCCTGTTAACATTTGTGTTTCCTTCCCTCTGGAAGGGGGGAGGGCAGTTACTTCGGTTTTGGCATCAGTGAATCTACACAACTGGAGTTTCCTTTTAAAAAAGTTTCAAAACACTTTTATTGGCTCTACAGTATCTCATCATGTGGGAGGCAGGGAGGGCCTCGCTCTGGCTCTCTTCAGCACCTTACACACCACACGCTTAACCACTGGCCGAGTTCGGAGAACCCGCTTGCTGCAATCCCACTAATCTCGCTCATTCCCTTTACAACAGCCACCTCCAGCCTGCGACGTCATCACGCTGGGACGTAGACGCCTAGGGCCGCGGCGCCTCTCGTAGTGTCTGACGTCATGGCGTAGAGCCTAGCAACAACGCAGGCTCCCAGTCGAGTCCGTTATGGCTGCTGCCGCCTTAGGGAGGGTGAGGGGGGCCGCGCAAGGGAAGCTGCTGCCCTGGCTGAGCATCCAGGCCCCTGGAGGAATGGCGCGGCCGCTGGTCTTGGCGCTCCTGTTTGCGTCCGCTACGCTGCCCAGTGGTAAAGGGGACGCGGGGGCAGGGCGGCCGCGGGCGCGAACCAGGAAACCGGCAGGGCGGGGAAAAAGGCGCTTCCGAGGGTCCAGAGACGGCGATGTCAAGATGGGCTAGTGTCTCTACGGGCCCGAGGAGGGAGAGTAGAGTGTTTGAAGGAGTCCGAGGAGGTGGGGTCTCTAGGGGCCTGAGAAGTGGAGTTGAGAGATGCAGGGACACAGGGAGCAGAGTGTGTAGATGGGCGGGGGAGGGTGGTGTCTAGAGGGACTTAAGAATGGTTTGCCACAGGCAGTGGTGGTGCTAGGGTCTCCAAAGTTCCGAGGAGGCGGGTGTTAGGAGAGTCTGGAAGAGGGGATCGAGGACATGGGGCTGAGAAGATAACCAGGGTTGGGAGGGGTGGTGTCTGGAGAGAGTCCCGAGGTGGGGGGACTCAGGGATCTAGAGGGAACAGGGGAAGGTGAGAGTTTTCCAGAAGGCGTGAGGTCTGTGATAAAGACCAAGGGAGCAGGGAAAGTAACCAGACTGAGCTGCTGGAATATTTCGGATAGCGAAAGTGAAGGGGAAAGAGCTATATTCGGACACTGGTGCATCTCTGAGATCTGGGAGTTTCTGAGCTTGGCAAAGAGCCAGAATCCTCGGGCACTGGACTTCTTAGGGGCTTGGAGGAGAGGAGTTCCGAGACCAGGGAGATTCTTTGTAAACGTGGCCCTGTGTCTTGGGTGAAAAGGACAATCCTACCTCTTTTTATGGATCCGTGGGATTTGATTGAATAGGATTTTTCTTGCAAATGTTACATTGTGAATCAAGACATTGAAAGCTTTATTGAGAAATGAGGAAATCTGTAAAGCGGGACCTGAGACTTAGTGGGAAGAAGTACACTAATAAGAATTTATAATGACCAAGCAGTATCTAGTTTTGTAGTTCCTTTTTTCTTTCAGGCCAAAACACAATCCTGCTCTTCTCCCTCAATATTTTTTGGGTTTTCAGATGAAAAAGAGCGTGAACTGGATAGTGTTCTCACACTTTATTTAACAAGGACTGCCCAGCCACACATTCCTCTACCACAGTACTATGGGCACATCCTTATGTTTCCCTGGTAGCAATAAGGGCAGCATAACTCCTGGACCACCCTCCCAGAAGTGTTTGCAAGTCTGTGGGAAGGGCTGAAGTCCATTTTCCCAAGACCCTTTCATCATTTGTAAAATGTAATGAGGATTTCCCTTGTTGATGCAAATATTGCTGTTCCTAAAGTACTTAAATTAGCATAATTGTTTTGATCATTTAATCATCTAAGAAAAAATGACATTTAGACATTTATATTTCCTGCTGGAATGCTTAAGAGGTATGGTTGGAGGATATATATCTGGTAACTGTAGTTTCAGAAACAACTTTTTCCCCCAAGAGATGATTGAAAATCTTGTGATGGGGGCTAGTGACAGGGGGTGTGCAGTATTAAGGTGTCCTTCTGTCTTTGTCTTTATTTGTTAGGGCCCCGTAAAGACCCTAGATACTATGCAGTGAAGTAGGAGGTAGAACACAGGCACTAAACCTGTTATTAGGCCAATTAGCTGGAATGTCCCATGAAACCATGATCCTAAACCTCCAAACAAGGAACCAAATCCCATGAGGTTTTTGGTTGTACATAAGCAGCCTTAGCAGCCACTCTTTTTTTTTGTTGTTGTACATATATCTATCACAACTTTTGCCAATTCAACTTTTTACAGGTGTACAACTTACTAACTTATTGACAGCAATTACAATAATCAGTTATGCAACTCTACCCTTAATCGATGTGATATTTCCGTTACTGTTAACACCCCCCTTTCCTCTCCCTCCTGCCCTTGGTAACCACTAATAAACTTTGGCCTTTATACATTTGCCTTGTCTTTTTATATAAGTGAGGTCATACAGTATTTGTCTTCTTGTGATTGACTTATTTCACTCTGCATAATGTCTTCCAGCTCCATCCATATTGTAGCATATATCAAGACTTCATTTCCTGGCTGAGTAGTATTTCATTGTATGTATGTACCACATTTTGTTTATCCATTCATCTGTCCATGGTTGTCTAGGTTGTTTCCTCCTTTTGGCTATTGCGAATAGTGCTGTAATGACATTGGTGTACAAGTCTCTATTTGAGTCTCTGCTTTCATGTCTTTTGGGTGTATACCTGGGATTGGAATTGCTGGGTCATATGGTAGTTCTATTTTTAGTTTTTTGAGGAACTGCCACACTGTTTTCCACAGCGGCTGTACCATTTTGCATTCCCACCAGCAGTGGGTAAGTGTTCCAATTTCCCCACATCCTCACCAACATTTGTTATTTAAAATTTTTTTAATCTTTGCCATCCTGGTAGGAGTGAAATGGTGTCTCACTGTGGTTTTGATTTGCATCTCTCTGATGGCTAATGACACTGAGCATCTTTTCATGTGTTTGGTGACCATCTGAGTGTCCTCTTTGATGAAATGCCTATTCAAGTCCTTGGCCCATTTCATGATTGGGTAAGGCAGTTTTTTAAAGGGACCAGAAGAAGAGGAGAATTAAATTTAGGTAATTTTATTTTTAAAACGTTAAGTTTTAACTAGAGAGGTAATACTAAATAGGAAAGGGTAGAAATGGAAGACTTAAAAGTCTAAAGTAATGCGTGTGTTTGTGGAAGCTCAATAATTAAATTCATAAAGTCAGAATTTCCACTTCGTTGTTCTGAATGCTCTTCATATCTAACTGGATAAACTTCTCTGAAGGAGAAGAGATTAAAGAGGTAATCTAATTTGAACTAAATCTTTCAGATGAATTACTTCCAAGTTTTCACTCCTTGAAAGTACATATTCTGCTCCTACTTGGTGCTAGGTATTAGTCTAACAATAAATAGGGTGACATTGGTGGAAGTATCCTTACAAGAATGAGTGGGGTTTTGACTGGCTGAGAAGCGTGGTAAGGCCTTTTCAGGCAGGGAATGCAGAAGGTTCAAAGATGCTACTTGGGACGAAGTGTTGGATTTGTGGTGAGAGTTGGATCAAGAGCATAGTCAATAAATACTTATTTGAATGTCTTCTTCCTGTTAAGTAGGCAATAAGGATAGAGTAATTAGGGAGATTGGTAAGAGCTAATGATAGTGAGGTGATGGGGGCCAGATCATGTAGGATCTTGTAGACTGTTAAAGACTTTGACTTTACCAAGAGAAATGGAGAGCCATTGGAGGGTTTTAAGCAGAGAAGACATCTGACTCAAGTTTTAGCAGGATGACTCTGGCTGCTGTGTACAGAGTGAACAGTTGGGGTTAGAGTGGAAGCAGGCAGATCAATTAGGAGGCTACTTCAATAATCCAGGTGAGATAATGGTGGCTTGGACCAGGCAGAAGCAGTGGAGGGGTGAAAAGTTATTAAATTCTGTGTGTCTTTTGAAGGTAGAGTAGCAGAGTGAATGTAGGGTGTTAAGAAAAGGATGACTACAAAGTTTTTGGCTTGAGCAATTAGAAGGATAGAGTTACCATTAACTGAAATAGAGAAGACTATGGGTAGAGCAGATACTTGTGTGTTTTTGTTTTGAGTGTGGAGTAGAAATTCCTTTTTTGAATTTAAAATTTATTTTGAGATAATTATAGATTCACATGCAGTTGTAAGAAATAATGCAGAGAGATCACGTGTACCCTTTACCCAGTTTCCCAAACTAGTAATATATTACAAAATACAGTATCACAACCAGGATATTAACATTGATACAGTCAAGATACAGAACATTCCCATCACCACACATGCCTCATGTTGCCCTTTTATAGTCACACCCACTTCCCTCCTGTACCCACCCCCTCCTGAACTCCTGACAACCACTGATCCGTTCTCCATTTCTATAATGTTCCTATTTCAAGAATGTTGTATGAATGGAATCATGCAGTATGTAACTTTTTTGCATTGGTGCTTTTTTTTTTTTTTTAACTCAGCGTTATTCCCTGGTATGATAATTCCAAGTTGTTGCATGTGTCAATAGTTTGCTTCTTTTTATTGTATGGATGTACTATAATTTGTTTAACCATTCACTCAAGGTGTCTGAGTTGTTTCCAGTTTTTGGCTTTTATGAATAAAGCTGCTATAAACATTTGAGTACAGATTTTTGAGTGAACTCAAGTTTTTTTTGTCTGGGATAAATGCCCAGGAATGTAATTGAGATATAGGTCTACAGTTTTTTTTTTTTTTTTTTTTTTTGATTTTGGTAATCAGAGTAATATTAGTTTCATACAATGAATTGCAAAGTGTTGTCTCCCCTTCTATCCTCTGGAAAAGATTATGTAGAATTAGTGCTAATTCTTTGTTAAACTTTGGTAGAGTTCTCCGGAGAAACCATCTGGGCCTGGATATTTATTTTTTGGGAGTTTTAAAATTATGAATTCAGTTTCCTTAATAGTTATAGAGCTATTCAGATGAAGTATTTCATATTAGATGAGTAATGGTAGTTTGTGTTTTTCAAGGAATTGACTCATTTTCTCTAAATTGCCAAATTTATGTATGTAGAGTTATTGCTCTTATTCCCTTAGTTTCCATTTGATGTCTGCAGGGTCTATAGTGATATCCCCTGTTTCCTTCCTGATGATGGTAATTTGTGACATCTCTCTTTTCTTTTTTTTTGTTAGCCTTGCTAGAGGTTTGTCAATTTTACTGACATTTTTCCCCCAAAGAACCAGTACTTTGTTTGGTTGATTTTTCTCTACCGCTTTTTTGTTTTCAATTTCATTTATTTCTGCTCTTTATTATTTCCTTTCTTCTTCATGATTTGGATTTCTTTTGCTCTTCTTTTTCTAGGTTCTTGAGGTGGGGGCTGATGACTGATTTGAGACTCCCTCTCTTCTAATGTATGCATTTAGTGCTATAAATTTCCCTCTCAGCACTGCCTTAGCTGTGTCCCACAAATTTTGACATGCTGTATTTTAATTTCTATTCAGTTCACCGTATATATTTTTAAAAACATTTCCTTGAGAGTTCCTATTTGACCCTTGGCTTATTTAGAAGTGTG